CATCTCCTAACAATGAAGACTTAGAAGTGCAGCTGCAACAGGAAGGCACGGAGGATGACACCAGAGTTTTCCTTGAAGGAGCAGGCACCTGAGAAACAGCACAGAGCTGCGAAGTATTTCCAAACACACAATTCCCACTAGAATCTCTCTCTACAGAAAGATGCTTCAGTGGACCTCAGGCATTTGGGGGTGTGACGATGGATTAATGAATGTGGTGAAGTCTCCCCAAAGCAGTGTCCAACCTGTAGAACTGGAATTCACACTTTGCATTGTGGCCTGCCTCTTTTTGCATTTGGAGGAAAAGTGCCCATTTGGTGGTCTCCTTCCTCCCCAGTAGTGGAAACAGTAACATGTTGGATTATGGGAAAGATCGGCAGTAGGATAAAATGAAAGCTCATGTTGGGGGAAGAGTCACTGAGGAGCTGGCAGGACCCCAGTGTGATTTGTTAATTTACTGCCTGGCACTGGACTGAATTTTGAATGAAGGGAATTTACACCTTTTAACATTTTCCAACTCACCACTTTCTCATTCCTTTTAGGACCACCTCAGGGTCCAATTGACAATTTAGGGGAATCAATGGGACAATGGCATTGACAATATCAGAGCAAAGTTTAGCTTTTCTTTAAAGGGTAAGAGTTTCATTTAATGCTGGAACAAGAAACTTTCTAGGTCATCCCATCATGGTTCGCTCTGAGATGGGCTATGGAGAGCCTGATTTCCCCTCTTCATTTCCTGGATGAACACACTGACATGACAAGGGTCAAGAGGAACAGATTCCCAAAGGCCCCAGAGTGAAGGGAACCATGTACTCTACAGAGGAGGACCACTCTAAATTGAGGCCCTCTATTTCCCTTGGATGCAAGAGGACTCAGGCTCAAATTCTGACAGTGTATTAAATAAACCACTTAGCCTGGTTTCCTCATTTATGAACAGATAAACAACTCTTCCTTAACAATCACATAGGATGCTCTCATGGCCGGCTTGTTCTCCCCTATAGGTCCTCCTGTCCCAACATCACCACATCCCTTAGGTGAGCTTTACTAAACTGGCCTATAACTCCTCCCTGCCCCTGTACCAGCTTTCACTTTATCCTCAATTATTTTTTCAGAGCATTTGCTATTGTCCCAAATATTTGAATCAAGAAAGTCACCATACGAAAGCAGGACTGGGCCAGTGACAACCAGGGCTGCTCGAGCTCCCATCTATCTGGTCTTTTCACTGCTGCACTCCTGCTGCCAGCCCAGTGACCAGCACACTGAGCTCAAGTTTTGTTGAGTGAATACATTAAATGAAATAAAATGTGTGAAAAAGCTTTGTAAGCTGTGAATTATGATACACACATGAATCATACCACACTTCAGAGTTATGGGCCATGTCTTAAGTGCATCTGCCTAGCTCATCTAGCTTTTGACATGTTCTGTATGGCTATTATTATTAGTCTACCAAGGAAATAAAATTGTCTATTGGCTAAACCTGGAGCATACTTCATGTGTGGATCAGTAAGAAAAGAGATTCTCCCTCAATGCACATTTTAAGCTAGTTCAGTGAGGCCTTTAGGATGCTCCAGGATCCAGTTACCATCCATTCTACCTTCACTAATACTCTGGATCCAAGGGCTTTTAAAAGCTTGCATTATCTAAATTTAGATTCTACTTGATCCCATGCTTTCTTTGTGATCCATTTATGGAACTGTTGTTGGATTCTTCCTAACACATAGATAAGGGGATCAAACATGCAGAACTGCCTTCCATCCATGCATTTGTGTGTGTGCGTGTATGTGTGTGTGTATGCACATGTGTGTGTATTGTGAGGGCTATGGAGGATTTTTCCAGATCACCCTCTTATTTGTAGTGTAAGAATTAAAAGCAACTCTGATATTTCTTGGTACCTTTGCTTCAACAGAAGATGAATAGATGGCTTTGATTGAGCTGCAGGGCCAGTCTCTGGCACACTATTACCACCTTTCCCTCCCAAACTGCTCCAGAAGGCCCCTCCATTGCTGAAGGGAGGGAGGCAGTTGAAGACATTAAAAATTGTTTTAAGTAAAAATGAAGGATAAATATGCTTAAAGCTAGTCGATTCCACATGGGTGGTAATAACCACCAGCTGTCACCAGGAAACAGTAGATGCAATTGGTAAAACAATTCAAAACTCATGTGGATTCATCATCAATAAACTTAACACCCAAAAAGTAAATGAAAGGTTCAAAGTAGAGCTGCATAAGCTCCCTGTGTCTGCCAATAATTAAATCACCGAACTACACACAAGCGTCATTTTTAAATGCAGACTACAGAGGAAGATCAGCTGGGTGACTTGCTTTGCCGGGTGAAGATGGCACACCATATGCTGCTTATGAAACTGTCATTAATTGAGGAGGTGGCTCTGGCGAACAGGGGATGTGGGGGCAGCGGGGCAAGGAGAAAACAGACCATCATTATCTGGAAGTATACAATATTTTTCAACTGTACAAAAAGGGTGTAATTTCTACCCCCATGCAGCAGGGAATGCATAATATTATTCATTACCACAGTTTAGCATTAAATGTGCAACACCTACTCTAATTTATTGATGGGCTGTTTAAGACGGGTGTTAACCTGTTTGTCTTGTATTATAATTGAATTCAGTCTCTAGGCTACAGAAATTTGAGAAGTTCATCCTTTCTCAATCAATATGCTCCCCTTCAGTGACCCATTTCAAGACAGCTTCATAAAAAATAATGTATTTTGTTTTAATAAATTTAAACACTATGACAGCTGCTCAATTTTTATTGGTTGTTTTTTTCCCTTCAGATGTCTCTTTGCTGCAGAGGGAAGCCAAGCTCACAATCAATAGTAATTGATTAATCAGCATCCCCTTTGAACAAAGGTGCTAATCAGTTTTTGATTAGTTCATCAAACCAGATGCAAAGGCAGCCTGGCCCTAGCCTGCTAGTTCATCACTGTTGTACATGACTTACGGCTCCTGAGCGATAGGACTGCAGTGTTCTTAGAGGGAGTGGGGAAGAGGGACAACGTAATTATTAATTTAACTGAGTTATCATGAGCACAAACAGTTGTTGGTTTATTGCTTCTGACTTGGATGATTGATAGAACTGCAGCAGGGACCCATCTGACATAATTCAGGGCTGAGACCTGAAGACTCCTAATTGATGAATGCCGGGGAGGGGTGCACAGCTGATTTTGTCATCTCTGCTATCATTTGTGCCTCTCCGAGGGATCTGGCTAATCTGCCAAGAGGGATCAGGGCCACTCAGGAGATTTCTTGTTAGGATCTTTGAAAAGATCCAATTGCCAGGGCCACTGTATCGGAGGGTTGTTTTGTTTAGGGTCTGTATCTGAATGGAGATCATCTGCCACCAGCGACACATCTCCCCATTCCTTCCAGCATTACATTTTAAGCAGGAAGAGGTACATTCTCTTATTTATTGTTGTTTATTTACTTACTTATTTATTTGGTACAGGGTCTCACTACATAGCTCGGAGTCATAGTGGTCCTTCTGTCTCACTCTCCCTAGTGCTGGCATTACAGGTGTGCGCCACCACACCCGGTTTCAGTGCCCAGCTTGGGGCTGAGCCGGCATGATGTGCAGTACCAAGGATTGAACCTGGGTCCCTGCACTTGCCAGGCAAGCGCTTGGACTGCCAAGCTATCTCCCCAGCCCCATGCCTTTATTTTTAAGAAAAATTAGGTTAATGTATTTGGAAATTCTCTAAATACATCATAAATAAGAGGTAAACAAGACACTATCATTCATTCATTCATTCATTCATTCATTATTTAAGTATGTGTTTAATTATTTAAATTCCTTGTGATTCAGGATTCTTTCATGCATCTGACACATACCATCTGGGTGCTGACTGCAGGACCGGGGAATAGCAGTGAATGAAATGTAACCCAGCTTCCAATCTGGGAAAACCTAGCAGCTACGCTCACACTGGCACGTGGTCCATAACAGAAAAGTAAAGGTACCCTCGAGGTTTAACAGAAGCATATAGTTGGCAATAAATCTATTGTAGTTTGAAAAACTGGGCAGTTTTAAGATAGTAATCTTGTTCTTTCACTGGGTGAGATTTAAAGTTAAGGATAGCTTCTCAGCAACCAGCTATTCAAGGGAATAGCAATGAGAACTTCAGGAAACAGTGATACAAAAACTTCCTCTCCAATGGGCTGGGGTAATCGTCCATAACCCTGTCCCTTATTGCTTCCCATCAATGGGGAAAGGGCCACACTTACTGACCTCTTAGGAGACTGATGGAAATGTTTAAGGAGCTTTGGCTGGTTGGTGGTGAAGATGCACATCATGGGAGCTTATATAATTGTTTAGCTCTGACCACTTTAAATCTCCTCCCTCCCTCCTTTTTAGGATATGCTTCTTATTCTGGATTAGTAACACCTAAATCCTGGAATCAAGCATGAAACCTACTTTTGCAAGAGCTCAGTGTGCTGTGAAAAAGGTCTGAGGTGGATAATTAGTTTACATCATGGTGTGTGACAAAACAATTGCGCCCCCGCCCCCCCCCAGTTCATCCCTGGCCTCCCACAGCCCCTTTTTCTAAAATAATTACATGGGTTTTCCAGTCTATTCCATAGAAGTAGCCAGTCAATATGAGTTTAAGATCTTGTCACATAATCCAACATCTTTAAACTGCTTTGTAATGCAACAAAATTTCTCCTGAGCCATTACATATCTTAGACATAAACATGATTTAAAGCCACTGAACCCAGAGTGGTTTTAGTACAATCCCAAAGATAACTTGACCTCTACTGCATTAACAGCCCTGGCCTCAATCTCAACTATAAATACTACCACACAAGAAAGATAAGTGGGAAAATGAACGGGGAGGAAGAAAGTGTTGACAAAAATCTGTTCTTTTGTTTTAGTCTTAAGATCCACATGTGCCAATTGACTGCTCGGTGAAGCAAATGGCCATTTTGTAGAAGTGGACAGAGCGTTCATAGGTTGGACACTGCAGAGCCTTACCTAATGACTATCCCTTACCTGAGAGGTCCTCACTGTCCAGTTCTTCTGCGGAATTGGGCAACTGAGTAAGGCCTTACAAGTAAAAACAAATCGTTTTTCTTTTCATTCCTCGAGGGACATAAACAAAACACTTAAGAACTGAGGATGAATTTTGTTAAAAAAACATGAGCCAAATCTCTTGCTATCACTCGCTGTTTTTTTTTTTTTGATAGCTTGAATGTATTAATCCATAAGTTCATTTCTTCAATCATGTAATTTTGTTATTGATACACAATCGAGGCAGAAAGATTCCTCAGTCTCCACTGTTCAAAGCATATGAAACATGAAGGTGAATGTTAAATATCACTCATTCATAACGGCATGCAAAAAGAAAAAAAAAACTTGTTAGCTATTGATGTTCTACTATATCTCTTAAACACAAATGTATTTAGATGTTACATACTGATGTATGTAAGTTTTATTTCATGTTTTACTATAAATTGAAATCCTTTGCCAATACTGATAAACAGTTCATTATCAATTTATGATGATCTTGGATCACATATTTCAAAATGGTACAGCATCTGCTAACTGCAGATTGCAGGTTAGGCCTTCATCAGAAAATCTGATTCGTGAAATGATTCTTTAAAAAGAGAATTTCATAAATCAATGGTATTTCTGAAAAATAAAACCCTCAAAGCTGAAAAAGCAGTTAGGTCAGGAGGTAATCAAGTGGGGGCTTGAAATTGCGTATATCCCAGCCAACCCTAATGCTGCCCAGCTGGGATGTTTCTCAAGCTAGCTTTGATTTGAATTAAAAGAGGTGAAGAGGGAAGCTGATCAACAGCGGGTGGCTCGGCTAGGAGATGGTTCCCATTTCCTCATAGCTTATTTGTGGGCTGGTCCTTTAACAAAGTGGACTAAACACAAAATACTAAGACAGTCAAAGCAGCCTTGGCTTGTTCTTTGCTGCTGTGCTCCAAGCCCATCTGACTGCCTGAGGAGCTCTAACTCCCATAGCTGTTGGTTTATATTTCTCTAATGAAATTGGTCACTCTGGAAGATGCAATGGCAAGGTCTTTGGAGAGACACATGGATCTTATTTTTGCATCTTCTCCTCCCGCTAAGGCAAAGTAAAGTCTCACTATATGTTTGCTGAAATGATGGGCTGGGGGTGATCCTCAGGGAATCACCAAGCAGAGCCTAAAAGCAACCAAAACAAATGCTCTGGAGACCAATAATATCATAATGAGAGTTCTATATAAAAAAAAAAAATCCCAAATTAACCAAACTAGTCCTTTATAAACAATCCTAACCCTTGGATTCTGGAAGGTGTTTTATAAAGAATCCCACTGACTACTGATAGCCAGGTTGAGTCTGTGAGAGAAAGTTGTCATATGAAGAGCCACCAGGAAGGGGAATGCCCCTCACAACCTGTAGATGCCAGTATCAAGGGCAGATACCACATCAGAACAAGAGGCTCTCGAATGCACAGGAATTCGAATGAATTCCAAACTATGAATTTAAGGCAACTGAAAACAAAGCAGTCATGAATAAATGATAGGCCCACTGAATAGGAATGCTGTACATTTGTTCTGAAGCCTGATTGGTTGAATGTATTCCTACTTCTAATTGGCTTTATCCATTGTATAAGGACTGATGAACAGAATTATTTCAATAACTGTTATAAATGGCCAATGTAAAGTACTTCTTTGTAGTAAATTATGAATTTGCAGTTCTCAGAAGCCTAATCCCTCACTTCTACGTGGCCCAATGAATATCAAAGTGTTCTACATGTGCGTTTATGTATCACTAACCACATTAAACAAGGAGGTTTCAAGTAGGCAGCTTTACTGCTTCAGGCTCGTTTCCTTGGGGAGGGCTTTAGAGAGCTAATTTTAAAAAAATGAAGATAAATATGTTTATGGAATATCATTGATATGCAAAGTTTTCCATTATGAAGCGGCAGACAGTTGATATACACCTCATTAAAGCTGAAACTGTCATTTTTAATGACATAGACTTTAAAAAATACCAAATCACATGGAATCTGCTGCTCAGATTATGTTCCAAAGTGGGAAGACATTTAGGCTAGTGGTGTTAATTTTTTTTTTTGTTGCAATATTATTGTCTTTTATGAATCTATAGTGCTCTGCCATAGTTGGATAATTTCTGAATAAAAATAATTAGGAAGTACTTACTGAAGCACCAATATACAAGTGAGGACAAGCAAAATGTACCTCCTAAAACTGCTATGACTTAGGTATTTTTCTTTCATGGTAAAAAAAATACACTTCTCATTTTTTTTTTCAAAGAAAAAGACAAAGATACGTTTGTGAAGTGCAGAATGTTCTTTGAAAGGAAACTTCACATTTTAACAATACATGAGAAATTACTTCTTGGTTCTTTAAACTTTCATATCATCCATTAAAGCTCTTTCTAATAACTTCTAATTAAAATGCATTCAACAAATTTCTTTAAACTTTGTTAAACAAGTGGAAGTTTACTTTTTGTCCATATGGGATTTTTTAAAAAAGCAATTAAAAAAGTTCAGGAGTGCAAACACGATAATCTAGTCCACACACAATGGCTGTCTCTTCTGCAGGGACACAGGTGCTGTGCTTTCTCGCGGTTTTACAATGCACTGGGACAAACCCTAAGCCTTCTCAGTGCTTCTGCAGTTGGAATTCCTCCTTTTCCACAGTAATTGTAAACTGGAGGAAGGAAATCCTCCAAAAATAGGAAACTATATGAGTAGTCCTAGGCATGTCAATAAATTCAAGGTCAGGTAAAATTTAAATGCTTCTGGGTTCAGTTCATCAGGGCATCACTGTTTCAAAAAATTTAAAAATAAGTACAATCAAGTTAAAACCTCCAGAAAACGAAAAGTTAGCCCACTGGTCCTGGTACCACTCCCATTATGAAAAACAAAGTAGGCGCCGTTCTCTCTCTTACCTAAGCAGCACACATCTGATCACTGGGCCATATTATGGAAACTGTTACTTCCATCACCAGCCATAAGAGTTCAGAGGCCCCGGAAGTTTTAATCTAAAAAGCTCTGTCATCCTGTTCTTCCTGCTTTGTCAGCTTTTGTGGAGAGTTTTTCCCTTCTTCCCATTAGCAGAAATTTGGTTCACGCCGTTAAACAGTAGCACATTGTTTCCAAACTGCATTATCAAGGCTGAAACACAATCTTCAGGTCCTGCAGCCATTCGTAAACCTCTTTAGCTTTGTTCTTGGGTAGAACATACAATGTCTGCAGAGTCCCTTGACTGAATGACAGCCTCTGAATGCCATTGTTATGTACTCATACAGAGATGTACATAGAGGTACATACACAAATGGTGGACATAGCGGTTGTAATAATGCGCACTGCTGGCTATTTTTCTTTAAAATGGGCTCAGGAATTTCCCCCAAATTGAATATTAAGGTAAGGAAATTTCATGTGCATTTAAAATTTTATCATGGTTTGGACTACTCATAAAATTGTCAGGCAAAGGAAGATTCATGGGGCAGTTATCTAAGGGCAGTAGTCTAGGGCATAAGCATACATCTAGCATTGGCCAAACATTTTGAAAACCAAAAATGAAAGTGAAAAATTAATCTTCAGAGGGGTTCCCAGTTACAGACTGAATTAAGATCTATTTAAAAACTCATTTGGGATATGAAAATTCATGAGATCATCAGCCTGTCTGTATCAAGAGGTAGAAAAGGCAAGAGGGCAGGGTAGATTTGAAAATAATAAATTGAGAGAGAGAGAGAGAGGGAGAGAAGAGAGAGAGAGGGGCAGAGAGAGAGAGAGAGAGAGAGAGAGAGAGAGAGCGAGAGCACTCAAACCCAGAGGAAGCCAGCTGACTGCAGTGCAGCAAAAGCACAAGCACTATTCCAGACCATGGGCATGCTATCACCCGACCCCTCACATGGGCTAGAAGCACGCGAAAACAAGAAGGGACACACAGGCATCAAAAAAAAAAAAAAAAAAAAAAGAACAAGACACAAGACACAGAGAAGCGCCCACATTTAAACAAACAAAAACCACCACACGCACCCACACGTCAATAACCATAGAGCAACTACACCACCCGTGCGTTAAGTCACTCATGCATTTCTGCCATCAATTTCAGACTGTGTGGAATCAGGACTTGGCAGTGTTTTTTGCATTGCTCCACATGCACGCATAACACAGGACTCTTCCTGTCCAGGCCTTTAAGGATGAGCTCCAAAAACACAAATGCTCAAGATCCTTATTCAACGAAGTTCCCTTATGTCAGCCTAATCTAAAAAAAATCTCATTCTTACACTCACATTTATCTTTACTATTGGTTAGACCCTTAAAAACACATTGTGACTGATTGTTGTTTGCTTTTCTTTTTGGAGAAAATCCATTTGATTTTGAATCATGCCCATGCATTTCTAACCTTCCAATACATGCTTATTCCAATCAGAGATATTGGTAAGAACAAATGGCCAACATACAAAAACAACTAGTATAAATTTCATACATACTCTAGCAACACAAGCTTGAATAAATATTTTAATGAGTCTTCAAAGGGAAAGCTGTAATAAATTTTTTTTCCTTTTTACAAAAGGAAAGGGAAATATGGAAGGAAATCCAGTATGACAACTTTTAAGAACAGTAAGACAGTCACAGCTGATTGCTCTAATATGTCTTGTCATTTAAGTTGCTAAGTTATCAAGCCATTTAACATTTTTCTAGATCCAGATCACCATGAGGGACATCTCAAGGTTATCATTAAATGAATGTAAGTCAAATGGTTGCTGTACTGAAGTAGTTGGGATCTTTAGTCACAATGCACTAGAGTAAAATCAGCTCTGTACTGTCATCTCACTGGAAATCTGATCACCTGCTTTATCATTTCTACCATGTTCTATTACCTTTTTATCCTGACAACTGACCTGGAAGATTTCTCCTTCCCATCAAGTAAAATCTTAGATATTACTTTGCTTTTCATTAGAGCTTTCTGCTAAGGGCCAGAGTGTACTGTTCAAAATAGTGGTTGGAGCCCTTTGTGAAGAAGTCACGAGGATTTTGGACAAGTTGAAGTGTGTATTTATAAATGCATTATCCAGGGATCAGCTTGGATTATCTATCACTTTTCTCTTCCTCTGCTGTGAAAGAGTCCAATTTAAAGTATGAAAGAGATGTAGAATAGAGTAAGAGTGTTGTGCCTATTTTTGCCCCAACTTTTTCATGCTCTGATCAATAATATTTTACTGAAGTACTACTGGCTTGAATATTGTGCCCAAACTAATAAGATTGTGGTTGCTCTCAGAGTACACAAACATCTCTATTTCCTGCCACAGGAATATTATAAGGTCCTACTCCAAGTATTGCTTCATCATACTATAAAAAACAAACAAAAATGAAACAAAACAAAACCTCCAAACAAAAAGAAACACCTTTCCTTTTTCTTTCTCCAAAGAGAAAGCCCTAATTAAAATAATATTCTAAGTCAGATATAATGACACATGCCTGTAATTCCAGTACTCTCAGAAACTGAGGCAAAGGAATAAGTTTGAGTCCAACAGAGCATTTGCAATTTACCAACTAGGAAAAGAAAGATTCTGTCTCAAAATTAAAACAAGAACAAAAAAAGAGAGACAGGAAGAACTGGGGATTACGTTAGCATAAAAGCCCTGGTTCAACCCCTCATACTGGAAAACAAATAGGCACCTTAAAATCAGGATCAGTCCCCAGGTTTAGTTCTTATTTTTCAGGCGAGAGAACAGATACCCTATTTTGAATACCCATCAAGGCTTTCAAAGATGAACTAGCTCCAAAAACACAAGTATATGAACTTACTGAAGGGACAAGAAAATAAAATTCTGAAGCTTTAAGATAAAAATGATAAATCTTCAAAGCCTTCTAGAACTCAGGAATCTTGTGGTTTATCCTTGACCCTATAGTTCTTTATAGGAAACTCAGAACTTAACATGTCTTAAAAAGAATAGAACAAAATCTCTTAAATTACATTAAAATAACCTTAAAGCTCAGAGAATAATCGATAAAAGTCAGGAGGTACTCAATTAATGATGAAACACACAAATAACTGAGCTGAATGGAGTGTAGTGTCTGAGATGAAGTACTATGGGACATTACCTCAGAAAAGTGGATCTTTTATGCCTGATTGATTTCTTATGATTGTCAGTTACCTGGTCCCTTTAACTTCCTTTACAGGGCAGATGTAGGGGGTCCACTGAGGACTGAACCCAGGGCTTTGCATGAAGCTGCTCCCCTGTCCCTCTAATGGAAGGGCAGAGTGAAGTGGTGCTGGTGTGGGAGGGGTCTATGACTCCATTCCTAAGTTTGTTTCACTTCTCAGAATTGCTCATTGCAAACACAGGGGGTAACCTGCCAACCCTGACCAAGGCCCGAGCTTAAACGGAAGCTCACATGGGTTTTATCCAGAGATTTCCAACTGGCAAGTTATCAGAGGTAGGTCTTACTAAGCAAGTCCATCGGGGCTACCAGACATTATTCTAGAAGTTGAATGAATACTGTAGGGTTGGCTGATCACCTCTGCATTTAAATGATGGATTTCCACTCCGCACAACATGTAAAGTGATTGAAGTAGGCCCTTTACCAAATGATTCCCTTGGATTCAATTATTAAAATTCAGCCCATTTTTAAACTAACATGTCTTTCTCTAAGCACCATCTTTCTAGGGTTAGATATGAATAAAGTAATATATAGATGAAACATGATTCTCATCTTCTGATTAGAAAGATAGAGAAAAGTTAATAGACTTATCCCAATCTAGAAAGTCATTGGTGAGATGGAGAAAAGGAGATATTTCCTGATGTCCCCATGTACACTTCATTTTTTTTTTTTTTTTTAAATGTATTTGGTACAGGGTCTCGCAGTGAACCTCTTGCTTTCAGCTTCCCCAGCACTGGAATTACAGGCATGCAGTCTCGGTGACTGGCTCAGCGAGCCCAGGGGTGGGGCCTGCCTGACGTGGTGCCGGGGGATTGAACCCTGGTCCCTGTGTTTGCCTAAGTAGGTGTTCAGTCCACTAAGCTACCTCACAGGCCCCTTATGCTTCATTTATTTAGTTTTTAATCACTTTCTGGTTAAAAACATAATCAGCTTTTTGTTATTTTGCCTATAAGCCTCTCACACAAAGATTTTATTTATTTTGAGACAGGGTCTCTTACACAGTTCGGCTGGCCTTGTGCTCACTTCTGTAGCCCCCAGGCTGATCTCTCAGTGACCCTCCTGTCTCAGCCGCCTGAGTGTTGGAGTTCCCAGGAGGGCCCAGGGATCAAACTCAGGACTTTGTGCTTTCCAGGTAGATGCATATGCCTCTGGAGCTACCTCCCTAGCCCACCACCAAAGACTTTTAACAGTCCCATTTAATGCTATTCAAATGGACACATTCCTGGTTTGGAGAAGTTCCCAGATAAATGCAACAATAAGAGATTAGGACTACAGAGGTGAAGCATGGGACACTTTAATAATGAACAGAATTAAAGTCTGGATCTTTCTAAAGAAGACTACTGACCTTCCTCACTGCCTCATGAAGGTAAACAGGACTCATCCTCCCTGACCTTCAATTTCCATTTCTAAGTGATACAAAAGACTCCCTTCATAATGTCCTTGGATTTATAGCCTATACATGAGGAAGGCCACTGGGGGTTTCATTTAGATGGTATGCTTTTTAGGAAAACACTAGAATTTTTAAGGTCCCCATGCATTTCCAGGTTTGGCTCAGCTTTATTAGCAAGGAGGACATGTACCACTAAACTTCTGCCATGCTGGCCAGCCAAGGAGCAGGGTTCAGCTCTGGCAGCGGCAACCTTTGGCTATGAACTCACAACAGAAATGACAAGACTCAGCAACCTTTCAAGGCTTAAGAAATTACAGTATATTTATGAGATCAGTCTACTTGGAATGTGATTTCCCTTGAAGACTACATTTCTTTTTCCCAGGCTTGCCTTGCCTCTCAGCAGTGCTGAGAAAGTAGATAAACAGTAATGTGATACCAACCGTGAACTGCTGGTTCTGTCGTCGCCGTTGTGTCTACAGACAGGAACAGAGGATTGGAGGAAGGGAAGAAACAGGAGGAACGGCATGCAAAAAAAGGGAAAATGGAAAAAAATGGAACAGATAATATATGAGCAAGCTTTCAAAGAACATCGCGTGACAAGCAGTAATAAATGAAAAGCAAAAAGCATTTGAAGTGAGTTGCACTGTTTTAAGACATGCCTTGAGCCCAAAGCTGCGAGCCAGTGAGGAAAACAGTAATTTTTTTGCTTCTGGGGGTTTTGCCAGGACACATATATTTGCTGGTCAATAGTCAGGGGAACATGCAAAGTGATGAGAAACACCAGTGCAAACTCAGTGGCTGAGATGGCTCTTAACGCATCAAGGCTCAGGACTGTGACAGAAAGGCTGGCTAAACAATGGATTCATACATTCAAACATTGCCTTTGTTTTAACCCAGCCCACCCGGCACTCGGCCTTCTCGACTGCCAATTAGGCAGCACTGGATCAATCAGACTTCCAGGATCCTTTTGCTGCTTCTGCTCAGATGCCTGCAGATGAATATGCAACACACAAGCTCAGGTTTTCCATCCACTGTATTATTTTAGCAGAGCGTAGCTGGAAAGTTCAATTATCTGGGAGGCCACTAGAATGAATGAATTCGAGGTTTTCATAGGTTAATTTCTACACACACACACACACACATCTATTGTTTGTTCTGTAGCTCTTAATATGTATGATACAACCCAAGAGCAGAAGCTTTCTGTGAAAACACACAAGCCCGCACAAACTGTCCAGTGCATACTGCTCATGATAGGACCTTCCAAAACCTTAGCCAGTCATCATCCTCTCCCAGTGCGGAACCATACTTGCTGCTGCGAGTGGCCAGGAAGGAGCCTTCCTTCCCTCCATGGCTGGATTAGGGGATGGTACAGTTAGGCACTTAGTCATCTTCACTGCTGGACACACTTGCTGTGGATGAAAACGTGGCTTGTTTCTTTTTCTTCTATCTCTGACACTGTTCAAATGTCCTCTTTCTTCTCCCAGGCTTCTCAGCCTGGCCTGCTGTGCCCACTCCTCACAGGAAATTGCTCCAAACAGCTCAAGGAATTTTCTTGTTATTTGTGGCTAACGGAGAGTTGGGATAAATATCTCACAAAATCCCTGAAGACATTTTTTCCCCTCTGAGCCACCTTCATCCCCAAGTGAACACATCTGGCTATGATTTCATTCATGTTCATTTCCACAGCTCGTAAGCATGTTCCCTCTTCCAGCCAGAAGGTTGAGGATGCTAGACATGAGGTCGTAGTCATCTATAGTTGAAAGCTGGTAGGTGCAGTGGGATTGGGGTTTAAAACTGTGTGTGCTTCCCTAGCCTTTTATTTTTATTCTTTTTAAATGCAGCTATTTAGTTGGTTGCTGTTTTCATGAGCTCTGGAAACTTCTAAAGACTTTCTGGACTTGATGCAGGCAATGTTTAAATGCACTGGAACTTCAATTGTAATTTTTTTCCCTGGGGTGGGGAGATCAAATGAGCCTGGAGCTTGTGATTTATTAATATGACACATGAATTCACACCCGGGTTTCCCTTCAGTTGGCATGCTTTCCTCAGGATCCTAGACCATCCAAAATTAGATCCCTTCTGAGGAGCCAGGATAACCAGAAGTCTGAGAGGCCAATGCAGCTCAATAGAACTGATAGCTGGGTTGCTTAATATATCAGGGAAAGAAAAATGTAAAATACACCACAGAAGAACTTAATACTTACTTATAAGTCAAGTCTGTGTGCATAAAATAATAATAAGATACAATACAGGAAACTATACAATTCAAACAATTCTATACCAGCTTTTTTAGACACTTATGACAAGCTTTGTTATATCTCCTTAGTTGAAACACTGAAGTTCAGGGTTAGTTTGATGCACTTTAAGTTTGAAGGACAAGATCAAATACATATGTATAAAGAAACAGTTCTATGACCTTTACTACATTTTATAGGTAGGAACTGGCTCCTTTGCAAAATTAAAACAAAGCAATAATTACTTAGCTTCATTATTTTT